ATTTATTTTTAACAAGAGTACACAGCGACACCGCTCAATAAAATAACCAGTGCTCCGCATCCTATTTTCTTGACTGTCTGGTAAATTGAAATTTCACTTTCCTAGCCTGGAGATGTTAGACTTTTTAAAAGTACATTCCTGGACCAGAAAAGCATAAATCGTAAACTAGAATAAAGCAATGTCTGCCAGACTCGTACCCAGTCGTTACGCTATATTTTTCGATACGCTCGAAGGAGTTTATGGGAAGGAGAGAAAAAAAAGCTTCGCGTCTTTCCTTCACCGTTCCCTTCATGCATTGCGCGCCGCTCGATAGAAGCGACTGGGAACGAGTCTGAATGTCTACTATATGACGTATAATTTTGTCAAGAAACATCGTAYGAAACATTGGGCAAATATACCTTTAAATAGCTTTCCCTGTGAATGTGTTGTAGTACGTGTATCTAATGGTATTTGTCAATGCGGTTGTAGTTTACAAAGGAAGAAGACGATGCCATTAGGATACCAGTTTTGGAACGCTATGAACTGGAAGGTCATCCTTACTTCTCCTCAGCAAGGTGAGTAACAAGTCTTATAATTAAAAAACAAATTTTCCTGCGCTCTCATTGGTCGAAAGTCGACCACGTGACGATAGTGCCCGCCGCGGATGGCTAGTACCAGTGCATAGAGCCCGCCGCTTCAGAAAAGTTTGTTTTTGAATAATAAAAACAAAAATAACAACTTTTTTAAATAACAACTTCCATTGGATTCAATCAAGAGAGAATGAGCTAAGAAAATTAAGATGAGAAAATTCAGTCGTCCAGGGCACCATCAGGATCACTGCATACACCGTTTTAACCTAACTATCAGTAAATCACCACTGAATATTAAAGAACAACATAGCACAATAAGCTTTCCTCGCAATTTTGAGCTTTACATATGAAATACTTTTTGCGTGAAACGGTTTTAAAAACTCCAATATTTAGAAAGATTGTATGAGCTTAAAGTCCAATTTCGAATTCTTATTTGCTCTGTGTTAGCCTCAAAACCAAGTAACATATTTTGTTTTATTGATAGACTGTTAAAACGCATGGAATTTGGAAAGAAAGACAATAGAATTGATATGAAATCTCACACTTTTATTCTCACAATTAGGAATATTTTGCGCACAAATGAGGCTAACACAGAGCATTGGAGAATTCGAAACTGGATTATTAGCGCTTTTGCCACTCAGCATCTTTGAACGCTAATACCTCATACAAACTATTGCATGTAAAGACCACACTATCTTGTACTGTATATTCATCGTGTGAATAATCGTACGTTGCTGGTTTTTTTTGTTTTTGTTTTTTTTTGTAGGTTATGGGACGATGGTGTGATCGATCCACTAGACACGCGGACAGTACTGGGCTTAAGTCTTAGTGCAGTTTTTAATTCACCTATTAAAGACACAAACTTTGGTGTTTTTAGAATGTGAATCAATTCAAGAAATATATTTCGTGATAATTTAAAATAAAGGTGTACGAAATTCTTATCAATTCCTCATTGGATTGAGTTAATCAATTTTTTATAGATTCACAGACACAAATGTATTTACTATAACCCACTTTTCGAGAGAAATGCAAGAATAGTATTTTTTGACGGCCACAGGAAGACCAAGAAGGAAGGGAATCAGTCTTTAGAAATGCCTCTCAAACAAATTAAACCCGACTTGCGAATCTCGCCTTATTGGTCAAACACAATAGAATCAAGACGACATGCATACGGTGAAACGGTCAGCCAAACATGAAAAACTGTTTTCTTGTTTTATTTTACTGTGCTTATTAATGCAAAATTCGTATACACCGTATTCCAAAATGCCACCCTTTGTTCAATTAGCCCTTGTTTCTCACTCTCATAAAATTATTCTTTTGTCTTTGAGCTTGCGTGWCTTTAAAAGAAAAGAACAATTTCATGAAAACGAGACATCAAGGGCTAGTCAGCCATTTTGGAATAAGGTGTATTTTCACGATTAGTATACAACCTCAAAGATTGCATGATTTTAGGAATACTGTGAAGATGACCTTTAAACTGTCATAAAACTGCGAAACGCCTTGGCTGTTTAGATATTTTCATGAAGCAACCGCGACTTTTACTGGTTTAGCAGTGCTTTCCTGTGCAATTTACATGAATACGCGTTTTATGTTTTAACATGTGCCAAGTTTCGATTGTTATGGGTACCTTCCCAGCATGCATTGTTATAGAAAATTCTGTGGTTCCACAGTTGATTATCGAAAGCACTCAGTTGCATGCTGGATTTTATAAGATATATGTATACTTCAGTTCTAAACTGGCCGTATTTTCATAACAGCTTTTTTGACCGAGTAGCGATTTCGCTTCCAGTGGAACCAATTTATTCCTTTAGTCGAATGACTACCATTAAGATATAATCCATTCAGGTTTGAATGATGACAACCACCGTACCACCATGCCCCCTTATATGTAACAGCACAATGATTGCCATCACTATCTTTAGTTGTGAAAGGTCTGTTACGATGATACGATAAGGAATCTCCAGCGGTACCTGTGGAATGCAAATGCCAACAAGTATAAAGAAATGCGACACACGGTCTTCTTGATGGTTCCCTGCACCATCTTGAAAGGTAGTAAGTTTTGCAAAAAACCTAGACGTTGAGTGTGCAAAATAGGAAACCTCCTTCACACCGACAATCATTCACAACATTCACAGGTATCTTTCGCTACACTCTCAATGGTTGTATCGTTTCGGTTCAAAGGTTCGGCAGCCTTTCAAGATGGTACAGGTAACCATAAGGGAGACTATCATTCGATGATATAAAAAAGGTGGACTGAGCTATAAAAACTGAGCTGTGAGGTCTGAACGCTTTCTAAAATGAATGCATGGCATTGTGGTCTAGATTCGGTACAAACAACTATTACCAAACAATGAGTGTAAATATATTGTTACATGTACTGAGGCTATACTACAATTAACCATAATAATGAAAACTGTGATGATAATTTAAGGAACGACATATATGTATATCGCCCAACTGGCATTAGAAATGGTGATTGCATTACAGACTTATYGTACCCAGTCGTTTCTTTTACTCGTTTAACGAGTCGCAGTGCATCAAGGGAAGTCTCGACTTCCCTTGATCCTTTGCGCGCGAAAGCAACGTTCCCTTGATCCTTTTCGCACGAGAGTAACGACTGGGTACGAGTCTGATTCCATTACTAGCGGTACCACTTTAGTTATGTATCAAATTCCTAAGCCCGCGATCACATTCCTTACTTATTCAGTCAGCGGAAGGGGGTTGTGAGTATTTGATTCCAATATAAATTAAAGAGCAGGAACCCAAAGGAGAAAAAAATTATATTCATGACTCGATTTTCGAAACACAATCTTTCCGTCAAAATTTTTTTTAATTCAAGATGACTTCCAAAAAGGAAACACTTACCTAGTTCCACGACAGCTCCAATATGCAGTCCATTTTTACAAACTTTCCATTGTAGAGGTTATATTATGAATATTATGTTAT